TTCTCTGCCCTGGGATCTCTCCTCAGCTCTCGGCGGTGGGGATGCCCCAATGAGGAGACGCACTGCTGCCATCCGACATCTTGGTCAATATTTGCTTAACTGCAACATGGTGACCAGGCTGTAAATATTCTACCAAGCCTAATTGTACCTTTTCTTTTCACAATTCACTGCCACACTGGCTGGTGGAGGTGCTAGAAAGTGAAGAGATCTAGAAGTGAAGTGAAGTGTCCAAAACCCCAGTTGTGCTCAGGCTGGGAGGTGTGCTACCGGCATACCCGAAGCCTACAAATCAATTATAAAAAAAAAAAACCCGGCTTATATAACCCGGCCATTCCGGCATAACTAGTAGAATCACTAGAATGGAATAGAATTGTCGGCAGTTTTTCATATTTCCATCTTTTCTTGGTCTGACGTTCTCTACACTAATTTTTATACATTCATAAACTAAAAATTGTTTTTTACATATATCTTCCCATTGACCCATTCCCGGTAATTTTTAGTTAGGTAGGGCCGCCTATGCCTATGATCAGGCATGGAATATATCTGCTTGGTGAGCCGCGACTGAATTTTTTGAGCCGCGGTTTTATGGATTTGCCAGCCGTGATTCCATTTCTTCGAGCCGTGATTATATTTCACCAAGCCGTGAATTCCATATCTTGGCCATGAAAAGCCATTTACGAGGCCACTATGCAGAGGGTGGATGCAGCGTTGCCAATATATGGATTTTCAAGCCCAAAGCGTCGTCGGCCATTTTAAAGATGCGTCGCCGGGTAATTTTTAATGAAAAGCCATTTACGCTGAGTAATGAAAAACTATTCACAAGCCACGAACTTATTTACAAGGTTGCATGCACGTGTTACCCCAAATAACTAGTTTTACCCTAAAAACAGTCCGATTGTACAGCAAGTGTCAACTGAACATGTAATAATGCAGTCTTGACTGCTCTAATGTGACCGCAACTACGTAATCGTAAACTTGATGTTTACATTTTTTTGGAGGGAACTCATCGCAACTGATTTCCGGACAAGCTTCACATGCATCCTGATCCGTCCAACATATCAGAAACCTTACTTTTTCAAAATAGTTGACCAAAGACTGAGAAATGTATTAAATGCAAGAATTTCAATCTAAATGTGTCGGCAAGATCTTCTGAAGGCAAAAATTTTGCTACAGAAGCGTCGCCAAAGATCTTGCAATATTCATCCACTCTCTGCATAGTGGTTACGAGGTGCGAATTTATTTACAAAGTCCATGCACGTGTTACCCAAATCTCTAATTTTCCCTAAAACAGTCAAATGGCAACAATAAAATTTGTCTTTACTGTAAGTTGAGCACATGTTTTGTAAGTTGAGCAACTATGCACAATCTTCAACAAAACGTATAGTTTATTTGTTTACATTACGATGTTTATGTTTTTTCTGCAGGATATTTTGGCGGGAACAGTAAAGCAATGCGGATTGCGGAAGTTGAAAATTTTATGAAGTGACATGTTTGCAAAGTGCAAACCGCAATTTTTCAATCAAACAAAAATTTATGACATTTGAGCTGCGAGATTTCATACCTACTGAAATTATATGATATTAGAGCCGCAATATTTCAGACAAAAATAGGATTCTTCCAGTCCTGCCTATGATGCCTATCTTCTGTATAAAACTGAGCTTTAACTGACTCTGTACAGTGAGTGACTGAGTGAGTGTAGTCTAAGTCTGAGTGTGGCCTGTAAGCCCATAAATAGAGAAAAGAGTTATGTAAGTAAATAAAGTAATAATGTTATATCATCACATGACTTTTCAGTTTTCACTTTTGCACCTTCAAGTTCAACCCAAGTGAACCCACCAATAACAACAAGTCAACAACTAATATCATCTTGTACCTTGTATTTTGCTTAAAAGTTGCTTAGATGAATAAGATGATAGATGAAAAATGTTATCATTGTATGCTCCTTCTGTGTTCTGTCCTTCAGTCCTTCTTAATCCCAGACCCAAGGTAGGCTACACAGCTGACCAAAGTGGAAATTCAGCAGAAGTTACTGGGCTGTCTGGGCAATTGACAAAAAGCCTTTGTATCTGGCTAAATTTGCCCATTTCTATGACATTATAACAATTTCTTTGATGAAAAATTACAGCCTATTTTCACCTACAATTTTCTCTAATGGGATCCAAAATAACATTTTGTAGGGGCTAGTAGGGCTGACACTTAACATAACATTTCATATGTAAAACATTTTTGTTAATGATCTTGTACTTTTTGTCTTGACTCTTGTCTTGTTAGACATCTATCTAAGTCTAGGCTGTCTAGTGACTAGCAGTCCTGAAACTGTATAGGTACTGCATCTTTGTCATAAACAGCAAGACTGCTCAGCAGCTCTATATTCTATTATGCGCTCAATTGCCTGAGTTGCCTCTGATGTAAAGCCAAATCTTTGTGTAGATATTTTTACAGTAAAATTAGAAAAAGTACGTAAAACTTGTTACAGTTTGACCATAACTTGTACAGTTAAGAAAATGTGTTTGCAATTCAAAAAAAAGTCCTTGAAACCCCAAATTTGAGAGAATAACTGCCCCTAAAAAAACAGTCAGAGCCCAGAGAGTAGATCTTTTTCATACTAGTTCACAATAACAGCCAAAATTTTATGGTTAGAAAAATGGCAAGGTCAAGAAGCTCTTTTCATTTTGTCTGTGACATTTTTCAATCTAAATTTATAAGTTGTTTGTTTCTGTCAATATTCAAATATTGTCTACTTTTTTTAAACTTTCCAGAATTCCAGCTGCCAGTACCCAGTGACCCTGTAATTGAAAAGCTATGAGCTCTTTACTATTCAAGATTCGATGTCTTCAACCTTCCTGGCATCATCTCAACAACTTCTCATGCAAACAATATGCAAGTTAGTAAATCAACATGCCTAGATTAATTAATAGCTTTTGAAAAGCTTCTTGATAAAGATTTGTTTTTGTCTTTGAATCATTTTTTCTTTGTACAATATAGACCAGGGCCAAAAGTGGAAAATTGGAAAGAAACCGACCATAAATTAGACAAAAATGCCTGTGCTTGTGGACAATTTAACCTGTTCTTATGGCCCTTGCCTAATTTCTCCTATAAAAATTAGGGAAAAAAACATTTTTTTGCCTGCTATTCTTGAAAAATTTCCCCAGTATTCCAGATTCAGGCAAGATAGAGTTTAGTAAGATTAATGTTACTACGAATTTTTGGTTAAATTAATCCATATGACCAAGATAGTATAACTGCAGGTTTTGATTCTTAGAAAAATTAGTAAGAGTGGAGAGTGGGAATGCATTAAAAGTTTGTATGAAAAAAAAAGACCAAAGTGTAATACCATCATTTGCCCTACTATAGCATGTTTTATACCTTGCTTATGGGTAAATTATTAATGTGATTATCATGCAATTTTTATTGTTTCAGATATTGCGGCTAGCATGGTCTACTCGTCTCCAAAGCCTTCCTGGTCAAGATTTACACAACAAGCACAATTCCACTCTCATCAAAATTATGACAAATCTCACAAAGAACAAACATTTTTTCAAAGAAATCGTTCTGAAATAAAATTAGCAATGGGTTGTAGCATTGCTCTTCTTATACTTTATTCATATGTAAAATATTATGAATTGTCAAATAACCAAATAAATTCTGTCCATGAACGAGTGGGCGAATCAAACATTCTCAAGGAGAGACCAAAAGAAACTAAAATAGCTAAATCAGTGAGTATCTCTTCTATTATTTTTGTTGTAATAGGGAAAGAGTTCTATTATATAAATAGAATTTTTAATGTCAACTGCCATTGTCTAGTTCAATCATATCACACATTTTTTTTGTTCCAGTTGTATAGTATATGTTCCAGTTAATGTTAAAATTCTTCTTATGTCAATATAATTTTTCATCAAACTCCGTTATTTTTACTTATGCAAAAAATAAAATATTCTCATTCCCCTAACTTTCAAGCTTGCCTGAAAACTTCCACTAAAAATGCACATTGCTTCTCCTTTTATTAAACAAAAATTAGTGAAAATATATAACAAAATTGGCAATAATAGTAATTTATTATCATTTTTATTTTTTAAGTTTCTCTCTCCACAGCAAACCCCCTCATTAGACCTAGAAAATTAATTTCCTTTTTTATCAGTTTATAAACCCATTAAAGTATGAAGATTGAGTCTTCTCTTCATCTTTTCATTCATGGGGAAATCATTTCCAGAAACAAAGATATAAATATATATTTTTAATTCGTGTCACAAATTTATATTCTGATTATATTTAAATTAATGTTCTGTAATTTCAGGTAGTGAACCCTAGAGACGCATCAGGTCTGAAGCTTACTTTGTATCAGTATCAGACTTGCCCTTTCTGCTGCAAAGTTCGCGCGTTCCTGGACTACTACGGCTTCTCTTATGATGTGGTTGAAGTTAATTCAGTAACGAGGGCTCAAACAAGGTGGACCAAGTACAGAAAAGTTCCTTTCCTCGTAGTCGAGATTCCTGGTTCTGAGTATGGAGACAGCACCGTACTTGTGAGTCAATAAATAAAATGCCTATCATGAACTGGGCCCATACTTTCAAAAAAAGTTAAGAGGTCGTAAGTTCATCAGCCAATCATTGACGGCCTTTCAAGCAAAATCCACCAATCATAGATAAGAAAATAGTGCGTAAGACTTATGTTCCACTTAGCAAGTTTTGAAAGTATGGCCCCTGGAGGCGTAGGTACCTTCAAACCTTGCTTTACCCTTTTGTGACTGACGGGACTTCTTGGTCCCAAGCCACTAGGTACAAATAACATTGAAGACGGTAAATGTATCTGTTTCTTGGTCCCAAGCCACTAGGTGCCAAGAACATTGAAGACGGTAAATGTATCCGTTTCTTGGTCCCAAGCCACTAGGTGCAAATAACATTGAAGACGGTAAATGTATCCGTTTCTTGGTCCCAAGCCACTAGGTACAAATAACATTGAAGATGGTAAATGTATCCGTTTCTTGGTCCCAAGCCACTAGGTACAAATAACATTGAAGATGGTAAATGTATTCGTTTCTTGGTCCCAAGTCACTAGGTACAAATAACATTGAAGATGGTAAATGTATCCGAGATGAAAGGATCAAGTTCACGGAGCACCCTAAGTATGCTTAGCAACCAATTTCCAGCTGTGATTAGTGGGTTGAGCTTGAAAAACCCTAAGTGATTCTCTGACGGAGTTGAGAACCCGTAACTATTTTTGATAGTAGGTACTACATCCCGGATTTATAGTATATTTACAACTGCCATGAGGAAGCAGACGTTCTTGAGTTGATACTTTGCTTCTGTGAGTAATTTTAGTTATATTCAAATTAAAAGATTTTAAGTGTATTTTCCACATTTCAGTAAGCGAGAGATTCAGTTTGTTTTTCGGTGATTTCAAGAGATTTATCCCGAGTTTTAAATCATTTCCTATATTGGTATTATAAATAATCCCGTTTTTCACAAGTTCTCCAAAAGTTACGAAATAATTTTCAAATTCATTCGCCGTTTCTATTCTATGTTAAAATATCAAGTATCTATTATAATTTTATATTGTATATTTGTGATAGTCATGTGTCAGAAACTAAATTTTTGACAAATTTTCAATGTCTAAAGTTACTTATTCTTTTCCAGCAACTGAAGGACAGCTCGGTCATCATGTCAGCCCTGGCGTCAACTCTCCGTAACCCTAGTGACAGTTTCCTCACAATACTCGACGGGTATCCCTCCTTCTACAATGAAGATAACAAACTGGAATTTTCCAACCGATACCGCATCATGTATGGGGAAAATTACAGGGAGGCGCTAAAACATCCCAAAGACAAGTGAGTTGAGATGTTTGTGTTTTGTCCTTTGCTGAAGTTTTTCCCCCTCATCTGTTTGCAAATTGTGCTTCTTCGCCCTGTAAGTTTTTTTTTTACTTCCGCCGTTCTTACCATAGTTTTGAATGTATACACTCTACTTGACACTATAGCTAAAGAGTAAACTATCAACTGAGACCTCGGTAATCAGTTTTTCATACCAAGATTTCAAGGAAAGTGTTTCGAATTTAAATGTTATTGCAACGCTGTGATGTTTTATGAGATGCTCCGTTCAGCTTGTTCTAATTTTCTCCGTTTTAATTGCTTGAAATTCTTGCAGTGCAACAGAGCTACAGTGGCGACAGTGGGTGGACGACAAATTCGTCCATGTGCTGTCTCCTAACGTGTACAGGACGCCTACAGAGGCGCTGCAGGCGTTCACGTGGTTCTCGGAGGTAAAAAAACGTCCATTTTAATGTGTGTCTTGGGGAAACAATTACCCTTTGAAATTATGTGCTGAATGAGTTGCGCTTTACGTATTCGATGGTACATCTCTCCTGCTGAAGCTTTTAATTTTTGATCTCGTTTTCATATTTTTTCCAACATTCATTTAATTACATTAGTATTGAATCATTGAAAATGATTTATATTATAACTCCAATTCTTCTGCTGTTAAAACAAACGAATTTATAGCATACGCATTCCTTCAATATTAAGACTTTAAAACCACCGTCAAAAGCTCTTATTGTCGTGATAATTATTGTTATTCAAACTTTCTAAATGAGGTAATTTGCTGCTCAGTTCTGAAAGAGCAAGAGTTTATTTGAATTGTGTTTCAGTGTCATGTTGGGTTGTCCATTTTATCGGCTTTGTGATCGCAGTTTACGGCAGTAGATCCGTTTTATCACAACGAAGTTCCAAAAATTGGGTAAAAATTATTGGCTTACTTGAGAAATTAATTCGTATTAAATCCTCTCTAACGTATTAGCGGTTCAGTTAACTATCATTTTAGTATATGGTTGTTTGTTTTCAGAGGATTCCTTGAAGTTCGTAACTATACCATTTATATTCGCCGTCAGTTTAGTTTCCAGCATTTTCATACCTATTACTAGAAGGTACATATTCTCTCCCGAAAATGGGTCGTATTTTATGTACTCTTTAATTTGCTTAAAAGCAATATGCCGCCAGCAAAGAGCCTGTACGGACCGTCCAATAAAAAAATAAAACCTGTACGGACCGTCCAATAAAAAAATAAAAATTAAAAGTTTATAACTCCGTCAGCCAATCACTGACGGCTCTTCAAGCTAAACCCACCAATGGCGGGCGAGAAATCGGCCGGTTATTCCAGCTAATCCACTACGTGTACATAGGCCGCTACGTGTGCCAAGGTCGCTTACATGTGCCGAGGCCGCTACGTGCACCTAGGCCGCTACGTGCTCCTAGGCCGCTACATGCACCTAGGCCGCTACATGCACCTAGACCGCTACGAACACCTAGACCGCTACGTATACATAGGCCGCTACGTTTACTTACGTCGCTACGTGTACTTTTGCTTGTACCCAACATGTGTAGAAAGAACCGCTCCGCCCCTGATCTTGATTATTATCAACTCACTTATTTCCAGGTTGGCAATTGGCAGGAACTGTTCTCAGCCTGGGAGCGACTCCTCGTCGTGTACGTGGGAGCAGCGGCCATGTACTTTATCGGCAAGCGACTCAAGAAAAGGTGATAAATATTGTTTGTAATTATTAGTGAAAAAGATTAGGTTGTCTCTAAATTGGTGTACTTCATGACTTATTTTCACTCGTCATTTATAACATGGCTGTCACCTCACATTAGAGAGATTTTCTTACGGTAGGTCACAGTTGGTGAAACGTGCTTACATGCTATTCAAAAGATTTGTATTCATCCTGAACGAGAGGTGGCGTGATTATCCCTAAGTTTATTAGAGTTAGAAAACAAATGTTTCATACTTGATCTGGTCAGTAATCTAGGGATTAAATATCCTATAAAGTAAAACTCGTTTCGGATATCCAAGTTTTGATCAGGAAAAATTTAATGTACCACCAAGATAATCGATACGAGAAATTGATGACCTGCTCATTGTATATACTCCTTCGGTGAAGTACGTAATTCCTAACTGTATTAATTAAGGGATATGAAGACAACTCGTTTAATAAAAATATTTATATTTAAACAATCTCACTCGCAGGCACCGAATTAGCGACGAGCCTCGTGATTCGCTGTACGAGGAAGCCAACAAGTGGATGAAGTTCGTTAAATCGCGAGGCGGGGAGTTCGCCGGCGGCAAGACCCCAAACTTGGCCGACCTCAGCATGTACGGCGTGCTGACGGCCATCGAGGGATGCGATGCCTTCCAAGACCTCACGGCCAACACCGACATCAGCTCCTGGTACGAGGCCATGAAGCAGCGCGTCGGGGGGCGGGAAGGCGAACAAGAACTTGTTAGGCGTTGTCGCATCCGGTAATACCAGAGGATGCCGTGTGGAAAATCATGGGAGAATTTCAAATCCTTATCTATGATGTATCTATCATCTTGAAGCTATTCGTATCTTGAGACTAGTTACGGTCATCAGATGAATTCGACGTTGTCGCGTCCGGTAATACCAGAGGATACCGTGTGAAAAATCATGGAAGAATTTCAAATCCTTATCCATGATGTATCTATCATCTTGAAGCTATTCGTATCTTGGGACTAGTCACGGTCATCAGATGAGTTCGACGTTGTCGCATCCGGTAATACCAGAGAATACCGTGCGAAAAATCATGGAAGAATTTTAAATGTTTATCTACGATGTATCAATCATCTTAAAGCTATTCGTATCTTGGGACTAGTCACGGCAATCAGACGAGTTTAGTGGCCACATGTTTACCAGTGCGGTTGAAAAACTTTGGAAAATTGGATCTCGGCCTAAAATAAGGTAAAACTATTTTATGCACGGCTCAACAGTAATGCGAAACGTGCATTGAACTTTGATGTACACGGATTTTCACATGTGGATGTGAATTTACAAAATTCAATTCTGAAGTGAATGAAAATTCAAAAGTTTCACTACAAATATTATGACACAATGCTTTCCACTCTACTCATAGCCAGGATTAGTTCTTCAGCTCGGGTATTTTTTTCTCAAAGTCGTTCACGGATGCTTGCGCCATTAAAAAGCTCATACATTTTTTGAGTAGTGCTGAAAATACCAATAGAAATGCCAGTATGCAAACCATTTTCTTATCCAGTTTCATAGATAACATTTTCAGACTCGGAGGTCGTGATTTAGCAATTGATCTTGCTTCCAAGTTCAGTTATTGCATCAGTCATAGGATGTCGCGCTGCATGTAAAAATTCCAATATTTCTATTTCATTATATGGAATGTGTATTCCTTAGGGAAATCTGAAATATAAGAAGCTCTAGTTTCATTATGCGTGTCTGGGCATTTGATTGAAGAGTCTCTACTTAGGTGAACATGCTTGAAGAGAAATGTATTTTATCGGCTTGACAAATTACCCACACTCCCCAGTCAAGTTCAGTTCTCAGATGAAACCAAATGCCCGATTACTGGTGATTCGCAGGCATAATTAGAGTTTGTACAGGACATTTCTTGGACATGAATGAATACGCATGTATGATAGTTCACTTGTATTGTGATCCTGTGTCATAATGAAATAAACTTCACTATGGCTTCTGTATTCTTTTATTAAAGTAAGATGTATTCACTTGCATTGTGATCCTGTGTCATAATGAATAAACTTCACTATGGCTTCTGTATTCTTTTATTAAAGTAAGATGTGATATGAAGTTTTACTTGAAAATAAATTCTGTATAAAGATAGCGTTGCTCCTTCTTCGAGAATATATAAAAACGAAAATTAATAACCTTTTAAGGCTTGCACAACTGAACACGGTATGCTGCTATAGGAAAGCAGACAACAAACGAGGTCGATTGAGTACTCAGTGCTAAGCCTGAAACCAGAGAAGAAAGCCTTAGTTGCATTGAAGTTCATCCAAGTGTGTTGGACGCTATCTAGACTGGTTAGCACCAGACCAGCTAATTTCAGGTACAAGTAGCATATATTGGATGACATTTGTGAATTTAGCATGAAGGTCATGGTTAGTTTCAAACTTGAACAAGTTTCGTACTAAAAAATCTGTGTCACTGATATTCTTAACTCAAAATCTCACTAACACATGCGACTAATAACAATCCCTGCCTGCCAGTCAAAAAATAATCAACAACACAATTTCTGATCAAATCAGCTAAAAATAATCTATACTTAGCTTCGTGTATAGTTTTACCAACAATTATTTGTTCAAAGACTCCTAAAAGAGAAGGAACCTATTGACCTATCCTATCTCTGGAAGTTGACTCCATAAATTTAAGAATTCATGAACCCTGTCCACACACGGCAAAATATGGTAAGTATAAAGTTCACCAACCTATTAACTGTTCCATTCAAACTCCCATTTCCATTCAAATTTTGTGCCCATGTAAAAGTATTCGATATTTTTCGAATTCATACGAATCCTGCTTACGCCAGATTGAAGGTACGTATACAAAATATAGTTCCATTTATGAAATGAACGACAATGAAGTCAAACAAGCAAGGAGAGCGACAGACAACAAACATTTTCAAATCACTTGTCATTCCTGAACCCAAGCATTACTGAACCCAATGGCGTAAACTAATAATAATATACCGTATGTTGTTTGTATTCATATAAAATTTGTACAACTCGTCACAGCTCTTGTGTTGATAAACTACGGAAATCGTGAAATGACGTTCAGTTTTATAAATTTAACTAATGAATAAATCCTAATCACTTGAGACAACACTCAGTAAATTAAAGGTTTCCGACGAAAAAAAAAGAAGACTTAATTTCTAACAAGTTTCCAAAAAACCTATTGATTACTTATCAACATCATGATTCATAATAATAATATTAATAATGAAAATATAAAACAAACACAACATTATCCCAATCCAAACAAAATAAAATGTCCGCAGTTCAGTCTTGCAAAAAGACCAATTAGATCAGCAGTACATAAGTTTACTTTCAAAACTATTCATCACCTCTAAGCAATGAACAGAAACCTGTCACCCAACATCATTAACTAATTACTGCAGGTTTCAAACTCAAACAAAAGAATATCATTCACGCTAACTGAAACTTGGTTGAAAATGGTAATTCTTATTCATCATCGTCACTGAAAGAGACGATTTTCTTCGAGTTTCGGGAACCAGTTTTGGCTTTCTTTTTTGGCGCTTCACTTTGAACGCTGTCTTCATCTTCACGCTTCTTTTTGTTGACAGTGAAGGCGGTAGATGTAACTTGGAGATCGTTTTTGACATTAGTCGCACCTGTGGTAGAAATCTTTGATTATTTATCGACAACTCTGTGCAAATCGAACCGTGAATCGGTTTTCAAATCTATGAAAAAATTACGAGGATATTCTCTTAATGTTAAGCTGACAACAGCAATAGAGTTTTTAGAAACTTTGGCTCCATTCCATTACAAATAAGAATTCATTTAATGAATGAGCTACAAACTTCAACCTCATGGCGTGGAATGCTACTTTAAAAATTATTCTCTCTACGGTGGGGCCAAAATCAATAAAAATTGCAGACGGAATAAAAGTGCATTTAATTTAACATCCATTACAGAGTAAACACATTATACCGCTCTAAATATTGTCCACCTGAAGTTAAACGCAAGAGTTTAATCGATATCTTAGCACTATGCTCAGTAAAAGCCCATGCGGTACAAGCATGGATACCTATCTACTTTGCTCAAACAAAATTACTCATGTGTACATACATGGCCGAAATCATCAATTCTGATCTGCACTGAATATTCCATTAATTCTGTTATTTATAATACCTAAACATGTTATTGTAAGCAACGCATGTGGCGATTAGAAGAACTCGGGTCCCGATTTTTAGGTTATCATCTGCAGAATAATGCCTGACATGTACCGGTAGGTCTGCAGAATAATGCCCGACATGTAGTTTATCATCTGCAGGATAGTGCCTGACATGTAGCTCTGCAGAATAATGCCCGACATGTACCGGTAGCTCTGCAGAATAATGCCCGACATGTACCGGTAGGTCTGCAGAATAATGCCCGACATGTACCGGCCGGTCTGCAGAATAATGCCTGACATGTAGGTTATCATTCTGCAGAATAATGTATCCCCAGCATGAGTACCCTGAAGTCCCGCTGAACACGGAAACAAGGCTTTACGCGAGTCGTGTCATGTAGCAGAAGTACGCTTCATACACAGGTACAAGCAATTAACATCTTCTCGTCCTGGGCATCGACTACTGTGATAATCTTAGTAATTTTTCAGAAAGCATCAAGGTAACCTGGTTGAAAGTAATGAATTGCAGCAACGATCAAATGCATCGCACTTCCCACTCTCTGAATAGTGCAGAAATGCAGCCCTGAGCTAAGACGATACTCGTGTTTTGCTGGGGGTCTGGCAGTTGGTTATCGTTTTATTATTAATTGTCGTACTTCTCTCTATTTTAAATGCCAAAATAAATAAATGCCAACTCTCGAACGCAGATCCATCAATAGGGCAGATCTCCGCGCCCTATCGATGGACCGTGTCCCATTGAAAATCTATAAATCTATGTTTTAATGATTCCAAATTTACCAGATGGACAATATAATATTCAAAAATTTCAGGTGAAGAAAATAGGCTACCTTTATATCGGTAAATGTGAAATAGGTATTACCATATACATCAAAATTTCAGCATAATATCAGAAAACCGAAACGTTATTAATATACTTCGATAAAGTGAAATGACGAGTATCTATTCTCACTAGAAGTGATAAAAAGCAGAATAAAATGAAAATTTCACTTGCTAAAATCAAGAAATTATTGATATACTTCGATAAATTAAGATAACGAGTAGTAACTCTTCTCAATAACAGTGATAAAAAGCTGAATAAAATGAAGAGTTCACTTGCTAAAATTAATGGAAACGCACCAGACATGACAACTACTGACCAGGCATGTCCTCCCTGACTCTGTACTTGCTGACGAAAGCCTTGATGTTCATCTTCTTGTTGCAGCCCGCGTAGTTCATGTAGCGTATTTTGCCGAACACTTCCCGCTCCCTCCAGCCTTGGTCATGAAGGCCGCCAATGCTCCATAGGCAGCCTGGAAAATAAAAGTTAAATTACTAAAATAAATATAAAATATTTGACAACAAATGATCAAGCGTCACGAATGAAGTTTGTTCCAATGCTCCATAAGGAACCTGAAAACAGTTTAGATAAATAGGTGATATTTCACAACAAATTAAATTGCATAGTGTTTAATAAAAAATTAGAATAGGTACTTAAAATAATCAAATTAAATTATATTTTTCTAGATATGGCACTCATTCGATAAAATATATATGCTTTTTATCTGCAAGAAAAGTTAATTTTGTAAAACAATAGTAACATAGCTGGAACATGGAGAAGAATATCAGTTCTTGCCGTGAACTGCTAACGGAAAAACCGAGTTTAACAAGAATTAAACTCAAGAATGCCAGTTTCATCTATAAAAGGCATTTGAGAATCATGCTTCCCACGTTATCAGCCCATTGCTAGCAAAAAAAAGAACTAACGTAACATAAGCGAGAATTTTGATAAAATTTTACCTTCAATCTAGACAATAACCTAAAATATAACTCACCTCTCACTGCAGTGAGTGACAGAGCGCGCATTTTCTCGTCGATGAAAACGTGAAATCACGGACGGACGGACAGACGGACATGGCTAGCACAACAGTGCATTTTTTCCATAAATGAGAAAATGCGCTAAAAATATTAATATATAAAGATGTTTAGCGAATCTCACTATTGCAACACGCACCAACAAAGCCATTAGGGTCCCGCCCGTCAAGAGAATATCGATCATTGAGGTATAAGGCGTAGGCGAGGGCTGTGTCGGGGTCAGGGGTCCACTCCAGGATCTTCTTGGCCCAATACATGCGCAGGAAGCCGTGCATCTTGCCCTCCGTCACCAGCTGCACCTGCAGTGGGAGTAAGATTTGAATGGACAGAAAAAATAGTGCTAGACTAGAATACTACTTGAGTAGAGTACTTAATAGAGTAGAATACTACTTGAGCAGAATACTGCTTGAGTAGGTAGAATAATACTTGAGCAGAATACTACTTGAGTAGAATAATACTTGAGCCGTGCATCTTGCCCTCCGTCACTAGCTGAACCTGCAGTGAGAGTAAGATTTGAATGGACAGAAAAATAGTGCTTGACTAGAATACTACTTGAGTAGGTAGAATACTACTTGATTAGAATACTACTTGAATAGAATACTGAACACCAAGAAGGGCAATTATTTAGCAATTCATCGATACAATACTACTTGAGTAGAATGCTACTTGAGTAGAATGCTACTTGAGTAGAATACTACTTGAGTAGAATACTACTTGAGTAGAATGCTACTTGAGTAGAATACTACTTGAGTAGAATACTACTTGAGTACAATGCTACTTCAGTAGAATACTACTTGAGTAGAATACTACTTGAGTAGAATACTACTCGAGTAAAATACTACTTGAGTAGAATACTACTTGAGTAGAATTCTACTTGAGTAGAATACTACTTGAGTACAATGCTACTTCAGTAGAATGCTACTTGAGTAGAATATTCCTTGAGTAGAATACTACTTGAGTAGGATGCTACTTGAGTAGAATACTGCTTGAGTAGAATACTACTTGAGTAGAATGCTAGTTGAGTAGAATGCTACTTGACTAGAATACTACTTGACTAGAATACTACTTGAGTAGAATACTACTTGAAGTGCAGGGCAATAGCGTGGCCAAGGAAAAAGCAAGTTACAACATTTTTGACAGAAACACTTCATGAATATCAGCATACCCAATATGCTGTTTAAAAATATAAAATCTCTACCAATATCATACAATTGGTGAGTGACGAGGTCTAATTGCAATCTAAGGCTGAATTCTTACATCACACATATGAATGAATGAAGATATGTGTTGTGTTATATTAACCGAAGTGTTAATTTAAGTTTAATATATTCCTGTCAAATTAATGATGCCTTCAAACCCTAAAACAATGCAACTTTCACAAGAAATTATAACCAATAAAACTCGTATAAATATGAACACTGCCTGAGTATTGATGAATCGATGATAAAATGAGTTTTTAAATTCAATCAGTACGGTATTGGAAAATCGATAATAAAACGAGTTTTCAAATGCAAACAGTATTGATGCATCGATAAAATAACAGGTTTTTTAATTCAATCAGTATTGATTCATCGATAATAAAACGAGTTTTTAAATTCAATTAGTATTGAAGCATTGATAATAAAGCGAGTTTTTACATTCAAACAGTATTGATGTATCGATAATAAAGTAAGTTTTTAAATTCAAGCAGTATTAATGCATCGATAATAAAGCGAGTTTTAAAATTCAAAAGTATAGAAGCATCAATAATAAAGCAAGTTTTTAAATTTAATCAGTATTGAAGCATCGATAATAAAACGAGTTTTTCAATCCCATCACCTGGGCAGCATTCCACAAGTCGTCATGGGTCTTTGCGCGGTCAAACTGTGCGAGAGAATAGATTTTTTCTCTCTTATCTTTCCTGAAACATAATAAGCACAGGGATGAAATTTTAAATATAAGATACTCAACTAATAGGCATTCTAAATGAAAGGGTGGATGGGGAGGAAAATGATTTATAGTCAGTGATAATTATCTTGGCAAGGCTTGGCACGTCGTGAAGATCCTTGACTATCAGATGCTATTCAATTGAATAAACTCAATTTCTAGTTCTTATAATTAATCCTAACATAAACAGGCATGGTATAAACAGGATCTCATTAAGACGCGCATAAATTTAAGATAAGTAGATTATTTACGTTTGAAATTACCAAATTAGACAGCTAAATTTTCAATGAAGTTCCACAACGATTTGAATTAAAAAGAACTTATTAAAATTCTCTCCTGGCAAAATCATGAACTACTCTCAACTGTTATATATGAAGAATTATCAACCATTAAGATCATTGGGCAATCTCCGTAATTGTTCATTGTTACTACACTGATGAGTCAAGCTCATGGTTGAACTTGGTTATTATTCTTTCAAATTAAATTCATTCTTCATTATTCTTTCAAGGTTATTATTCTTTCCAATTTCAAATACCTTGACCTTGTATTAGTTCACCCATGAGTTGAACTTGTCTGCAAGCATATAATGCCAGTTCCCTACCAGACCCCACACTGAGGTAGAGATTCACTTGCATTCGATTAATTAACCTCTACCGCCTGACATGAGTAGCCGGAGCAATATTATTATATTAGTAGTAAATTAATATTACTAATATACTATAATATTAGTATTATTAATATTATGAGTAACCATAGCAATATTGTCACGCGCCTACTTCTCCAAAAAGATATGTTCTAGTGAGCGCAAAAGACTTGCACTGATGGTTGCCGCCACGTACGACAACTTAAAAATGTTCTCTGTTGCGTACAAACGTCCTCAGGCTGCTACACTCAAAAGTTTACGTATAATTTGCCGCCACGTACGACAACTTAAAAATGTTCTCTGTTGCGTACAAACGTCCTCAGGTTGCTACACTCAATAGTTTACGTATAATTTGCCGCCACGTACGACAACTTAAAAATGTTCTCTGTTGCGTACAAACGTCCTCAGGTTGCTACACTGAATATTTTACGTATACTTCAAGTTGAAAGTTATGTTCCCGGAGAGTGACAAACGGCGGTAGAGGGTTAAAAGAATATTTTACCCACCAGCTACTAAGCCATCTCACCTGTGTGCATCACAGGGGAATTGTAAGTTGACTAATAAGTCAACTAACTAACTAAACTAAACTAAACTAAGTTAACTAACTAACTAAGAGTTGACTACTAGGTCAACTAATTAACTAACTAAACTCAACTAACTAACTAATTTAACTACGCTAAACTAAACTAACTTACTAACTAAGCTAACTAACTAACTAACTAAACTAAACTACACTAACTAAACTAAATTAACTAACTAACTAAACTAAACTAACTAACTAACCTAAACTACACTAACTAAACTAAACTACACTAACTAAACTAAACTAACTAACTAAACTACACTAACTAAACTAAACTACACTAACTAAACTAAACTAACTAACTAAACTACACTAACTAAACTAAACTACACTAACTAAACTACACTAACTAAACTACACTAACTAACTAAACTAACTAACTAAACTAACTAAACTAACTAAACTAACTAAACTAACTAAACTAACTAACTAACTACCTAAAAGTTGACTAGTACCTAAGTCAACTAACTAACTACCTAAAAGTTGACCACTAAGTCAAGTGACCTGTGATCATCTAAGGTGATACGCGCCCAGTCCGAGGTGCCCAGCAGGGAGTCGTAGTGAGGCTGGTAGTGGCAGAAGTTGTCGCTCAGCTCCCGCCTTATGACACATTCTTCTACGTAGGCCTCGACGCTGCTACGGCAGCTCTTGTTCTGTTGCTGCACCTCCAGCACGCACCGGGCCGCAGATATCTGCCCTGAAATGCAAAAACTATTAAAATCTTATGAATTTCATATTACGACATTTAATTTTAACATTCTTCTACGTTACGTAGGCCTCGACGCTGCTGCGGCAGCTCTTGCTATGTTGCTGCACCTCCAGCACGCACCGAGCAGCAGATATCTGCCCTGAAATTTTAAAGCTATGAAAATCTTATAGAAATCATTTATTTTCCTTTTAAATAAAATTATACGACAATATTAATCGGGAATATGCGACGCTGCTACGGCAGCTCTTGCTATGTTGCTGCACCTCCAGCACGCATCGGGCCGCAGATATCTGCCCTGTAATTTTAAAGCTATGAAAATCTCATGAATTTTATATTAATTTTAGCTATGACAAATGACAATGACATTTAATTTTAGACGACATTTAATTTTAGACAACATTTAATTTTCATTGTCCTGACGACATTTAATTTTAGACTACATTTAATTTTCATTGTCCTGACGACATTTAATTTTAGCTATGAAAATCGTATATGGATTAAAAAAATATGAATCTGGAACGTTTTCAAAGATTTTTTCTCGTTATTAACAAGAACGTTAGCATGTATTGGATTCTATTCAATTACATGTGACGACGATTATAGGAACAAGGTGAAGGCTAAAACTATTAATTTATTTCTAAATGTGCTATCTAGAACAAGAAATTTCAACTAGTTCCTGATTTTTCCAAAAAATGTGAACATTATTAAAAAAATGACATTTACAATGAACACGCAAATTCAAAATGATAATATAATGCTCAGAGCAAGCCAGGCCTCGACCAGAGGGACAACACCATATTCATTATTATTATTTCTAGCATTATAGTCAAATGGGGTAAGACAGGATCGCAGCCTTCATGGGGTAAGAAAGGACCGGCCCATGGCGTGCATTCTAACTGCACTGAATTTGATTTGATGAAAGAATATGTTAGAGCAATCATTGCCAGTCATTTCAGTGTTTGCTTCAACCCTGTTCTACAAATAATGAATTTTTGGTTAATTTTTAAAGAAAACCTATGTAATGAAGGGTCACAAAATAGTTAACCCTATTTGGGAAATAAGCTCTGTCTGATTACAAAAAATTTTTTGGCCAGGTTTGTGGATGTAGGCAGGTAACCTCAAGTAATAAGCAACTTTTGAGACATACTAGGCATTCCTACCTGCTACCATCACTGCGTGACATCTATTCTAAAACGGGGTAAAAAAGGACCGGACATGGGGTAAGAGGGGACCACTACATGATCCTGTTTTACCCCACAAGTGGTCCTATCTTACCCCACAAATGGTCCTCTCTTACCCCGTAGTTTATCAAAAGTAGCTTTTAAATGAATAGGTATATTGTTGTGCATAAGTAAACATGGAGTATTTTGGTCAAAATTTTCATCTTATGCTCAAAATAACCATTCTAACTAGTTAGCTTTTTTAATTAGAGAAATTTAGCTTACTATTGAAAATTGTATCAAGGGGATGGAGAAAATAGGGATGTATCTTCCCATTAGTGAGCTGCAGAACTATGTGCAAGAGTGGTTGGGGGAAAAATCATTGTGTGAAAAATAAAAAATAATTAATATCACAACTTTGTGAGAGAGCATGGGCTAGGTATGTTTGGAGAAGTGCACCACAAATGCAGTTAGCAAGAAAATACATGATGTCCGACACTTAAGTTATTATTCATTGGTTTTATTATCAATTTGATAAATTTTCAGACAATGACACTAATGGAATATACATGTAGCATTTAGCAGTGCTCTACAATGAATCAAAGCCAACCTACTATTACTATGCTTAACCCTTTAATGACCATGTGTAACATACGGTTGCCTTTCAAACATGCTGTGTAATATTACTGTCATGATAAGGAATATGCGATAGTTGTTTTGAACGTGTTTGGTAAGTGTCCCTGCTTTGTTTCGGTGGAGCAGCTCTACTCTTTGCCGCCAACTACGTCGTACAGCGCTGGTCTTGTTGGGAATCCGTGGTGCCATTCATTTGTTGAACTCTCCCAATCTTTATTGGACTATGGTGGGAAAATCAGAAAAGTTACAGCATTGGAATAATTCTACACAGTTTCTAGTACAATAGTGGGTGCACATGCAAAATTTGAACATAAAATAAAAATTACATGCATATATGACATTGTGTTTCTAAAGGCAATCCTTCAGTACAGTTGGACTTACAACTGCATTGTTTGAAACGTGACCATTGAGTCATGTTCCTTAGACCATGCAAGTAGGGAATTACGATGTATAATAATTGTGTTTTCATTACTGTTCTATAATTTAGTGCCCTTCTACAATATTTTTCTCACTATTAGTGAGAAACACGAATTCAGTTTACCGATTTTCTATCTACATACACTTGCCATTATTGAAGTGCACTTGTAATATTTTTTGCCTTTCAGACTCCTTCAAGAGCTTTAGCATAAAAACATTTTCTTCTCCAAGAAAACGTCCCAGTCTATGTGAACAACATCTTGCTACTCCATTCTTCAGTGAATCTAATGAAGACTCTGGATCAAAAGTCTTCTGATATTGGATACGATATTGGTTTCACCAATATGCCTGAAACCAGTTCTGAAAGCAAATTTGAAGAAGAAAATGAATCAATCATGATTGAAACTAAAAGAATGGAAGGTGGAAACCTGGCCTCTCATTCAAATAAGGCATTTTTGCTAAAATACTAGAGTTTATTGGAAGTTTCTTGGCCAGACTTCTTAAGCCTATTGTTGCTAGCAAAAGTAATGTATAAAATGATAATTAACTATGCCAGAGCTACATAATATCATCCATATTTTACGCTCAGAAGACTAAATGGATCATACCGTCACATGTAATGTTAGGACCAAGTGGACTGAAATGTTGCCTTACAATTTTTCAATGTACAATTTTCAATGTTTATACTCATCTATACACTACTTAGTGACTGGAATCACTAGAAATTATAACAAAAAAAAATTTAAGCGCTTAAAAAAAATTTGGTCATTAAAGAGTTAACAAAATTTTCTCGTGACAAAAACTCCAATGTGACTGATAAATATCAATAGAGTTGACATCCTGCAATACAAAACAGTAACAAGTGGTTGTGTAATCAAATAATGTGTTTCTAGATTGATAATATTGAATATCAGAGGTTTGTACTTTTATTAAAAATCTTGTAACACAAGAATTACCTGTTGGTCCTGTCTTACCCCAGCCCCGGTCCCATCTTACCCCAGTGGGGTAAGATGGGACCAGCTCACTTTTTTTAATCTGTACCAAAAACTGTGTTGTATGCAGAAAGTCTGAGTTGTAGCTTAGAAGCTCATTGCATAACTACACCTTGAGATAGGTTTACGGTTTTTTATTTATTGATGGTATAGATGCTACATGCTTGTTGGTGATTTTGGTCCTGTCTTACCCCATCTGACTATATACAACATAATTTATGCATCATACCAAAATGTATCCATGGCGAGAGGTTGCTAAGCGCGTCTTCGTTTGGATCATTGCGTTTATCAGCGAATTTTTTGAGTCGTTGCGAGCAGAAGGAGGCGAGCACTGCGAATGCGTGGCTTGTGCCCCCCCGGGCCCACGTGACCGGCCCGACGCTCGTGTCAACCTCCAAGGACTCCTCCACGGCCGCACAGTCCGTCGTCTGTCAGGGGGGAGATGTTGCGTTACGTTGCGTAGTAAATATAACATGCAGTAAAGTACTTATATAAATAAATGAGCACTAAATAAATAAAATATCGAATGTGGCGTTACGTCGATAACGAAACGCCGCTACGAAAAACATCAGACAAGAATACATATGAGTAAATATAGAAGGCGGTAAAGGACTAGAAAAATAAATGAACACTTAATAAATAAAATATCAAAGTAACCAAACAATGCAGTACGGATGTTGAATAGAAACAGATGAGTAACTAAGGATACAGTAGAAAATTGGTAATTTTTCCGGTTAAACATTACAAAATCATCTCCAGAGAATAACGTAGCACATACTGTCACACAATTTGAATGGGAAACATGACAGAAGCAGGAAAACATTTCCCTTTCTTGTTCTGATACAAGTAACAGATAAGTAGCTAAATCTGTCCATCATTATAATAAAAAAAACATAAACAGCACTTTTATCTTAGTCATCAGCAAATAAAATTGGAATTTATATCGATCAATACCAAGAAAGCATGCCAATATTTTTCTAGGAAATTTTCGGTCGTCTTTAAATGAACGTGCATTAAAAAGCAATTTGGAACAGATTTCAATCCACTTGAGAAACCTTCACAGTAATCTATCTCTGACATCCTTCTACTGATGAGAATTGAAGTGATTCAAGAAATTACTTTTATTAATTGAATACAATAATTCATGATATTGAATTTAATGAGTAAAAATAAAAATGATTATCAATAAAGGAAGTGGATTCATTCAGTGCGAGATTGCGGCAGAAATATCCTTTGCTTTCTGAAATGATAGTTTTATACAGCAACATGTTTTATATCAGCAACATATGAATAAATGTTATAGTGAGTACCTAGAATAAAGTCTCTATCTTATAAATAATAATATGGAAGTTTTGTGATTCAAAACGTTTGCACTCCACGTGCTTCAATCTTATCAATCAAATTAAAATTTTTCTTGCTAGGAGTCTAATACAATGTCACCGCTAGAGGAGCTGCATCATATATTCAGACCACTCATCTATTTCATTATATGAATGAAATAATAGCAGCAAGTGAGTTTATACTTTGTTGAACTGGAAATTAAAGTTTAAATGAAGTGGGTATCATGTTTGGTAAGTGGAGTGATGTTAAAAGTTTTTTCCAGTTTTCTTTACTAAAAATGTTTTTCATTTCGAACAAAAACAAGCAAACTATTACTGGGGACTTCTTTTATGATCAATTTTGCCACAAGAAAAAATTCTTTTAAGCATAAGCATTCTTATTTAGTGAAGATGAAATTAGTCATTAGTAATGAACTAAGCTTGTCTTCTACCAGCTCTTGGAATAACAGCACCTCTTGTCTCAAAAAAGTAAATATCGTTAGAAATTTTAAAATTTATCAAATACATAACTTGCTGGAAAAAATTACAATCATTCATTTATTTGATTTTTACCTTGTCAAATTGCATACATAGTTAAATTGCAAATGAATATTTCCATATTAACGGAATTTTGACATCAAACATGGATGATGAAATCCTATATCATCCATGAATCCTTCTATTCCAAATCCTACATCATCCATGAATCCTACTATTGAACCAACCTGCTACCAAATAACAGCAAGTATTTACTGGAATTTCATGCTCCTTGTCTTGGAAGGGATGGGCGATGAGAGGAGGGAATTCAGTGAGGTATGCGTCCAGCTTGCTGGTTATCTTGCCGCGTATGGTGCGCGCTGCGTACTCTTGCTTGGGCGAAGCTTCCCACACTGGCACAACATTGTGACCGTCTACCTGCATATGAACATAGAACTGCATTACCAAGAACAAATTAACTGGAATAAATACATTAATTGAGATAGTTCATATTATTATTGAACCTTATGACATTTTTGAAAATTGTAGCTGCAGCCATATATATACCTACTAAAGTGCATAAATAAAGAATAAGCAGGGGACTAGCTTTACATAAATAATATACTGTATTATTATATGTCATAAATGATAAAATGGATAAGATTGCCCTTTGATTAACATTGTGAAAATAAAACAAGATTAAAATAACATTGCAAGTCTGAAATGCTAGATTAACTAAATTTGAAATTATTGATGGACCTGAATAACAATCCAGTAAATGACATTTCAAAGATTTTCCTGTAAATGATGAAATTTAAGACAAAATTAACAGCAATTATTTAAATCCATTTATTCTTCACTTGATTACTTCACCACCAGTTTCAATAACTTAAATTTGATGGGACTTTTACTAGAGACTCTCACTTGACACAAAGGAATATCTTTAGGAAGTTTGTTGAGCACATCTGCCACCCACTGCCTCGGGGTTCTCAGCGGGGAGTAATCGGTCACAACGCCACCAACGTTGTTCTTGGTAACAAAAGCAGGAAGAACGTCTTTGGCTTGCCCCATCAGCAAGTGGAATGGAATTCCTAACTGTTTGCAGTCAAACTCAACTTCTTTCAGCCCTGCATGAAAGAATAAGTAAAAGAATTAAAGGCTAAGATCTTTTTTCCACATATATACATTTTTTATTGTGGGTGTGAGGCTAAGAAAAAAAAATCACAAGTGGAACAGTGCATTAAGATCACATAACTGAAAAACAACTTGATATTACCCACTGTACAGAATATACAGTATGAAAATCAGTGATCACAAAAAGCACACAGGAACATACAGAAACATTGATTGCCTTAATAAAGAGTTTCATTTTAAAGAGTACAACTAAAAATCAAAAATTTAAAACTGGTTGAAATTATTGGTGAATTTATTTGATTTATTTAAATAGGTAAGGCTCAATTAAAAAATATAAAATCTATATATAGTAGAGACAAAATCATGCATTCCCTAGCAAAAATCCTTGTAAAACAATACCTTGAATCATGAAACTGTAGTGACGCAAAGTAGCATCCATGAATTTTGGTACCAGGCAAAATACAACTTTTAGGGGAACTTTGTTCTTCAGAGCCAACCTCTGAGCAAACAGGAATGCCCAATTATCTGAAAATGAAGAAAAATAGAGGACTGCTAAAAAGGTACTGCACCTATGTGAAAACTTCGGTAGGTATAAATAAAAGCAAAGCATTATAAACTAAAGTTATGCATACAATGTGGTAAAAGCAGTGGATAATAAGATACGTTTAAAAATTACTTTTTAAAGACAACACTTCCAAAGAATCCAGTGCCTCCAATCTTACAGATGTACAATGAATTTCTCATCTAATTTTCGAATATTAAAAAATTTAATTTTTCAATTTTTTTAAAATATAAATTTTTTTCAAAATTATTTATTCTATTAATTGATTCATGCATTGCCTCTGACTTCACACAAGTGTGCAAAATTTCAGATCAATTAGACAGGTAAAAGTGTGTCAAATATCAGTTATAAGATTTGTAGCTGACAAAATTACATTTTCAATTTTTTTAATATTAAAAAAAATTTTTTTACCTTTTAAAATAATTTATTTTGACATTTGATTTATGCATTGTCTCCAACTTTACACAAGTGTGCAAAATTTCAGATCGATAGGATAAGTAGAAGTGTGTTAAATTTCGATTACAAGATTTGTAGCAGACAGACAGACAAACAAACAAGAAGTGAAGTTAAAGAGAAGTGTTGTAAAAAGTGGAAGTTGGGTACCTATATTTGTATTTTTCAATATTTGTTTTCAAATATTTGGATCAACTGTATTTTTTACAAGAGAAAATAATAATAGAAAAACCTCAAATTAAACTAATATGGATTAGAAAAGTTTAAAGCTTTATCAGACCTTCATGAGGAAAAATGTTAATAATGACTAAGATCAACATTTACCTTGTACACGCTGCTCACGAGACATCCAATATATAATTGAATGAAAAGATTCAGGGACGTCCAATGACTTGCTTCTGACCTGAACCCTCTTCTTGCAAAATTTGAAGTCAGCAATGCTACCTGCAAACTAAGAATAAATAATGATTAGATGAATGAAATTATTATTCTTAATCTCCTTTCAAACATACTCAGCCATCACATTCCCAAACATTTGGCCAAGCACTGCATGCAATAATGTTTTTATATTTCTGGTAGAGAAATGCTGTAGGAAGGATATTAAAGACATGAAAATACTAGGAAAATATTATTTTCTACATAGAAGATCTGTTATATATCATTCTATTGAATCTATTAAAGGGTAGAAAGATGACTCTTATAAATACTACTATGGCTAGACAATATTGTAAAAATTCAATTTTTCGCTTTAATTTTGTGAACGCAACATCATATGTGATTTTCTCAAATTTTAAATCTCACAGGAATGTTATAGTTTCATTAGCACCATAGGTCAGTCTTTATTACAATTAGTGAAAATGTAATTCCAATGGCAACAAATTTACACATACAGGCAGAAATTTCTAAACTGCAGATAAGTCTCAAGTGGGTCATTGCATTTTGAGTGGGTCATTAATTTTGAGTGGGTCATTGCATTAAAGTAAAAAATAGTTCAGTTCCCACCATCATGAATCCAAATTGCAACAGACAAACTAAACAAATATTAAATTAGGTTCTCTGTGATTTCAAGCCTCTAGCTGCAAATGCTGCATATCTAGACTGCCAGTCTGAAGGAATGTCAGGCTCCATGTGTGTAACATCTAACAAAATGACATTTTGGGGTCTCAAAAAATTGGGAATAACTCAGCATAAGGGCTAGCAAGATGAGACCCTGTAAAACTTTGCCTGCTGATATAAACCAAAATTATTTACTGATATAAAATTCAGTCAAGAATTAAAATAAATAATAAAATTCAGTCAATAATTCAGCCAAAAGTGTACTTCAAAAATTTGTCACAACTCAATGCAAATAATTGTGATCAATATTCAGACTTCAATAATTTGCTTGCAGATAAAGATAGTATAGAATAGGCTTAAACTTTTACCTAAGCTATATGACAATGTTGGATGCAAGGCATGCAACAGCCTAGGCTTTATAGCTGCCTTCTTGGATATCATCAAACCTGGCTGTCAGCACAAATGGCAAAATTTACTCAAGTTTAAAGCCAATTGTTACAAAATCAATGATCTGAATTTCATGATGAATAGTAGCATTCAAGAGAATTTGGCTCTATGTGATTGATATGATTTTCTTCTGCAATGCACTGCTTAAAAATTTGTGAAAATTAAGAAAAACACATCCAAAACATAACATGCCTTGAACTTGGTAAATAGGTGCTTAATAAACATGTTTGCAAGAGAAAAATATATCAGTCTTGTAGAGCAGAACTTTCTGTTTTGAATGATCCTATTCACAACTGAATTAAGTCTGATTATTTTGTAGTAACTACATGGCTTTCAACAATTTGTGCTGACACTGCTTAATTTAAAGAAATACCTATTGCAGGGTGAAAATTACAAAAAAACGTACATTTTTGCCAGCAATTTCAAAAAATAAATCATGAGATGATCAGTTCAACCTGCATTTCTTGGCAAATTAGGCCTGATTTTACTGATTGGATGTAGGACATTGTTTGAGAGAGTAAAGCATTTGCCATCAGTCATAAAGTGAGCATTGCTCTTTATGGATAAATATAATATGCAAGCATTTGTCAGTAGGCCCCAATTATATCTTGTCTTTGGAACAATTCTTTGAATTATCTTCTTGAGTCTAGACTCAACATTTGTCAAATTTCCAGTCCAGTGTGAATCCTTGTATTATCTATATGCGTAACAATAGTTGTCAATGCTATAGCTTTAAGGAGAATGTGCAATGTTATTCTAAATTATGGACTCGATTTAATGAAATATTCATTTAGGTATAAATTCAAAATGAATAATTTATGCACCAATCAGAAGAGACAGATTCAAATTTTTTCAACTTGTTCAAATGCAGAATTGGGCAATGGTGGTGGCGGTAGTTGCCAAAACTTATTGACTATCACTTCCTGAGCGCTGGGTAAGATGCATAGGAAATGAAGACCTGGCTCATTTCCAGGGCACCACATAGATTGAAAAATTATTAAAACCAATTCCCTGGCACATCTTAATGGCAAATGAGGTATTTTTTAGGCACAGTTCAGTTCAAGTTGTCTCATCTAGTTTAACATTTTCTTCACTATCATGTTGGAGTAAACACTGAGTACCAAGCTGCTCATATAACCGGTTGTCAACAAAAAATCTCATTTGCCACTATTTTGCAAGCACCTCTTCCCCCCAATGAACTTGTTAGTGGTAACTCATGGAGAATTGATGAAAACAAGATGATGTGTGTTGATGATTAATCTACAATGTATATTTTAGGGATAAAAAAGCAGAAGTTCTTCAAGGCTTCTAGGCATATATACATTTCTTACCTTTAATCTCTTCTTATGGACTATGTCCATTAGCTCCAGGCCCTTGCTATTCTTCTCAACACTAGCCATTGCAATCTGTGAAGTTTAAAATTATTCAAAAATCATTAGAAAATATGAATTAATTGTTTGTGCCTCTTGATGTACCATAATCAAATTACTGATAAAAATTTACATTCTAATTACACTAAGTAGATGCAAAGTTTCACTTGACTACAAGAAATTGGCTTGAGCTTGGCATACTGGCATTAGAGCAGTAAGCATAACTCATATTGTCAAATGAGGTTATAAGGAATGGGCAGGGCAAATTGGGACAGTCCTACACCATGGAGTAAAAATGTTATAGCAGCAAAACCAATTGAAATATTGGAAAACTAAAAATAACGGCATGAAGTTCAACATTTTTCCTATTTATATAGCAAACAGGAAGTTAAGAAATCATACACATACAAGCTCTAAAAATTCCCTGAAAAAAAAATGTTGAAAAGTGATATTTTGAAAAGGTCTGCCAAGGTTTGCAGTAAAGAAAATATTTGCACTATCAATAAATTTTACTTGAAAACAGTTGCAGACAGACATTGGCTTTAAAACTTCATTGACAGATTTTTTGTACAGCAATTCAAAACAAAACGCAGTATTCAGGGACACCCTTAATATTGTGTTTTTCTACATGTGAATAAAATCTCGTGGCCAAGTGACCAATTTCCAATACATTTGAAATTTTGGGCCCCAAATTGTCAGTTTTATTAACAATTAGATAAGAGATAAGATCCAGCAGGAATCTCACAGCTCTGAAAATGGCGGGAAAGATCTGGTCACAGCTCAAATGGTAGATTTATTAAGTGCCAACATAGGAACAGGTGAAATTGCCCAGATTATTGGGCATTTTAGTCTAATTCACAAGTGGATTCTGCCAATTTTCTACTTAGGAGTCATATCAAAACACATTGTACAATCCAAGTTTTGGGCTAACTCTTATTTAGACTCATTCACTTTTTAAATCCAGTTCACATTTCACAATTTCATCCCCAGAAAAACCAGTACCAGGTCAGGTTTGGTAGTTCAGGGTGGCCCAGTGGACAGTCAGTGGTTAAAGTTCAGAGTACTACCAAGATTGGAGCAGAGAGGTGCGGGTTCGATCCCAGCTCTGTGCGCCAGTTTCTGGTCAGAATCGGCAAGGTGGCCGGGCGGTTAAGCACAGCAGAATTGTAGCAGTGAGTTGCAAGTTCAAGACCGCAAAATGCTGTGAATGTTCTGTGATGTTAAGAATCAGCAACAGGCCTACGGGCTAATAAATGCTGAAACCGCTATTATTATTATTAATTGTGTTAAATGGTGAATTCAATAGCACTAGTTAATTATTTATGGTCATATTGGTCAACTAGGTACATAAAAAAATTCAATAGTAAATGACTACTAAACTATGTATGACCAAAGTAAATAAATTCAATACTAAATATGATAAATAATTCAATATAAATATAAACTAGTATGACTAAATGACTAAATTCAATACTAAATGCCAATGTAAAAAAAATTATTATATATAATTATTATGAGAGAAAATTAGACTGAACAAGACAATTATATAGGTATACCATATATATAACATATATATATACCATGAAATGGGGTAATAAGGGACGGGCGGAGTAAATCGGGACACGTGTCCCACATTTCGTAGAACTGTTGTAGCAGCTAAACTAATCAAAATATTGCAAAACTAAAACTAGTGGTGTAAACTTCAACATTTTTACTATCTATTATGTATAAAATCAGTTAAGAAATCATATATTTACTATCTCTAAAAAATTTCTGAAAAAAATGTGAAAATGCAATTTTGGAAAAGTACCTTATTACCCCATCATGCATAAATAGCTGCCATTTTTTTTTTTGGAATGATATAGGCAAATTTCATCAATTACGTTTTCAAGCTGACACCTGTGTGCAACTTTTATGTAAGTAAAATTTTTTAATACAGCAAATTTTTTTTTGGCTCCAAACCATAGGCCCATCTTCTTCTTCTTGTTACCTCTTAAGTTCTTATAGGAGCACTGGAAACTGGTCCATTTAGCCCTTTGCCTAAACAGTTTTTGGCTTACGCCGGCCTAACTATCATATAGTAACAATCTAAGAATTTTCTAAGTGTCTTATAATCTGAAAGAATCTACAAGAAAAGAAACACACACACACACACACAACAAGAAAAAAATAAAATAACAAATACAAAAAATAATAATAATAATACAGAAACAAATAAAAACAAATAAATAAAATAGCAAAATAAATTAAAATACAAATAAAACAATAATTAAATCAAAAATAAATCAATAAAAATATAAAAAAATGAGGAGAAAAAGAAGAGAAAGGGAAATGAGAAAGAAAAGGGAAAAAGAAAAAGAGAAGGCCGGAAAAAGGACATAAAAGCATCATTGGGCATAGTACATGTCAGCCTGTCAGGAATAATCAGAGATTGAGGGTCGAAATATTTCATGAACTTTTGAACAAAATATTTAACATAATTTTTCATGAACAAAATAATAAGTTGTCCAATAATAACATGAAGGAAATATTTCGTAAGTTTATTGGACAACTAGAAAACTTTGTGTGAGAATATATTCTCCAGCAAAGTAGAATATTCATTTTGCTTGGAAAGAATATAGACATAAAATAAGAGAGGAAGAGTCCGAAGAGATAACGGTAGAGTATATCGCAGGCACGGCTGACGGCACATGCTTCCCCCCTCCCACTGACCGGGGCAGAAAGTCCCACACCAGGGCAGATCCTGGGGGCACTAACCACTCACGAGTCACATGGGGGCACTAACCACTCACCTGGGAGCACCAACCAGTGGTTAGGGTCACAAACCGTCACAGTGTCACGGAAGCTCAGCACAGGAATACTCTTGCTTCTTCTTTGCGGGGGGTCCACGCTGGGTGGACATAAAGCCACAGGTCTGCCTGATGGGATGACCGTTGGGCCTGAGAGCTTGTTGGTTAAGTTTTTAGCTTCTTGGTATGGGAAGCTAGTCAGTTCTCTCTTAAGAGAGAACAATTCTCAGGTAGCTCCATATAGGATTTGAGGAGTTTTAAAGGAGACAAGTATTAGTAAACGGACTTAAGACTAAATGCTCATTTGAAGCAAAGCATAAAAGGTAAATGAATGCTGGTACAGCCTCCCTACCTACTTCAAACACCTAAAAGACATGCCTAGATTTTGATAAATAAGCCAACAACATCAGTAGATAGAACATAAGTAGCAGCAGCAATCAAACATGTACATGACTACCATGCATGCTTGTATACAGCTGTTGCATGGCAACCTACAGCTCGCTTATCCTACCTGACTTCAATATGAATAGAGTAAAAAATCGAAATATTTTCTGTTGTACATCATCATTATGGTTACCTCCCCCCAACAAATTACATAGAGTAAATTCTACATTAATGCATCTTAAATTACGTTGCAGCTCTTCTCTTGGCAGCACGAGACGTTGACAATCCAGAACAAAATGGGCTATTGTATCCGATGTATTGCAGGTGGTACATTGATCCGTGTTGCTCATGTTGAATCTATATAGATGGCTCTTGACACCGGCATGACCAATTCTGAGTCTTGCAGCCGCACATTCCAACCTGCGGGACTTTAAGCAGAGCCATGGGCGCAGTCTGGGTTCTGTCAAGATGTCGCTCAAGAATGTGCCCTTCTGAGTGTGAGTGACAGTCGCTTTCCAGGTCCTGGTCCAGTGCTTGTGTAACTTCTCTCTTACAACATTGAGTGTTTCCTCCTCACTCAAGATGCTCATGGCAGAATATAGCCTGTCTCTTATACACATCTAGATGTGTATAAGAGACAGCCTTGGCACTTTTTTTTACGTTTCAGCCTTCCAGTAGGCATTGTAACAGTTTGTTTATATATTATTCAAATTTTGATTTGTTCAAAGACTAGACGATGCAAATGTCCTCGACTTGTACTTGCGCCTTCTCCTTTCGTTTCTTTTCAGGGTGTAGCTCACTGTAGCAATTGCTCGACGACAAAAAACGGAGAGCTTCAAACTTTCCGCGGGAAATGAAAAATTACTGGATAAATAATTTCATTTTAACAAAATTCGTTGGAACATTTATTGTATGTATTTCTTATCTATGTATATCTCATATCAACATCTACATGTACGTGACATGATTCTAGGTTATCACTTCGACGAAACATGCCTGACATAACGTCATACATGCAACAATGCCGTCGTTTGGTAAACGAAATGGTTGCAGAATTGACAGAATAGCACAAGTAATAGAGGTTGGGAGATTTTCCAAGTAATTGTAACAGTTTCTGAACATTACAGTAGTTTCCTCACCTAGACACGTTCTTTAAATAATCGTATCTTGTTGCACCTGGCAATGGTATGCCAACTCATGTTGACGTCACTACTCGCTCATTCACAGGCAATATCATTAGAATATATTTGGTCGATATGAGTTAAATATTTCTCAATATATACATGCCCCAATTTTGAGTTTCGTATTAAAAATGCCCTGAATCGGGTGGTGCCGTCACCAGCGTTGCCAGATGGTATATTTCTATACCAGATTTCACAAATCTGGTATTTTCAGAAGGTGTCTGGTATGAACATTTCAGATCTGGTATATTTGGCTAAATCTGGTATTTTTCTGGTATTTTCTGACTTACTGCAAATTTACTGCATTAAGTTCCACCTCTGAAGTTTGAATTTCCTCCAACGTAGGCGTGGATTATACAGATTACAATCAGAGTGGCGAGACTAGAGGTTTCCCGCCATTTTTGGAACCGCAAGTTTACCGCTTGATAAAATAACCCCAATTTAATTGTTACCATTTAACATAAGTGCTTAGTGCAATATGAGCATGAGAGTGATGATCCTCGAATGATTACTGATCAGTGATGAACTGATGATATGGCCTAGGACGAGTGAGGATGTCGAACCGATCTCTGCGACGCAAGCTCCACCATTTTTGTTTGGTGGTTTTGAATTCTAGAGTGCCACTTATTGTAGTGCCACTTGAATTCTGGGGTGCCATTCAACATTTCACTGATCTTGACAATTATCATCCATTCAGGGATTTGGCTAATTATCGTCAAGCCAGATAACTGCACAGTACATGAGATAATTTTTTTTTCTAACCAGCGTTTCTGACGA